CTAATAGAATAAATTGGAATACAATTGAGACTCATTCTTTGTGTGGTAGCAAATCATGACTACCGGTACTCAACACATTGCATGCATTCTAATTTGTATAAACAAACATGCATTGTATACATCACCCATAACAGAAACTATGCAGAATGACGATGGCACTGGTGCAGAAAAATTGTTCATGTTACGTTCATGTTCATTGCAAAACCACGCCCAAATCATAACTCAATGTTTAATTAACTTGAATAATTCAGCATTTATTGTGTTAAATAATACAAATGTAACAAATAACAATAATCTCGAGATGATCAGTTTTGTTTTTTCCCCATGATCATTACTCAAGCATAGAGTGTAAAATTTTTAAATCGAGATTCTTGATTACTGACAAGATATACTCACTCGGATGATGGAAATTGTGAAATGATATGTTGTATGATAGTCATCTGTACCGGCTTTAATGCTCCGTCTTCTTGTACGTCAATGTATGGTACAACTGTGATATACCGCCTTTGACAGTAAGTATCTAAATCTAATAATTCACTGAAAATAAGTACATCACTCATATTAGTAACAAGGAAGCTAAATAATCAACAAATCATTACCACAGGATACAGAGGTACTTTCCACTCTGAACTCATTCATGAAGATTTATTGGGGACCATATGCCATATTCTGTGGTACTTTCCACTCTGAGCTCATTCATGAAGATTTATTGGGGACCATATGCCATATTCTGCTTCTCAGACCCACGATGTTACAGAGGGACCCCCCCCCCCAATTAGTTCACAGAATATATTGCCATTTCCAGTTTATTTTCTCATGAAAATTATATTCACGAGTTCTGAGAGTGATGTACATCAACCAACCGTTTATAAATGTCAAAGGCTTATATAATCAACAAATAGTGATATTCTACGTATATTTGTATGTTTGTGTTTTCAAAGCATTTGAAGGCAGGAAACAATTGTTAAAAAATTAATTATTATTTAATTCAGTGTAATCTAAAAACTAGAATAGTAACATACATTTTTGTATACTACTTGTACCTGTC